AGGCTTCACAGCAACTAGAGAGGGTCCAGTGTGGCCTTTCAAAATTTTTACTGTGAGAGAAAATGGGTAGGAAGAAAAAAACAGTCTCAGTTAAAACCCATGGAGAGATAGCAAAGCTCATAAAGGATTGAGAAGCTTGAACGTTAACCTGATATTTGATCATCACGGTACCTAGAGCAAAACTACTTTTCAGCTGTGATGGAGTCCATCATAAACAGTAAACATAACCCCTCTCCCCAGTGCCATCCCAATAGGGCCATTTGAAGAAAAAAATCATATTTAAACTCATCATTTTACAGTTCAGCCTAGATTATTTTCTGTGCTATGAAGGGATTATTTTTATTTACAAAAGTCACTTGATCCTAACTTACTATACTTAGAAAAGTAATTAAAAAAAAAAAGAACAAGCAACTTTTAAGAGTCATTAATTTTAAAGTTATATCATACAATTTAAATTAGTAGTGATATTGGTCTAACACCTAAATCTAAGTCTAGGTGTTGAATTTGCAGCTGCCTTTTGTTCTGCTCTTCTTCGTCATCCCTTGCTTAATATGCTCAAAGAAGAAATGCTGTGCTCTTCACATCTCTGTATCAAGGCTGTGTTATGACCCTATATTCATTTTATATCTTGCCCTGCAACAAAAGAATTAAAAACAAGACATTCTAATGAGGGTAACAGAAACATTAGTAGTTGGCTTGATCTGAATTCAGATTAAGGGAGGAACAATGGCTGATTTTTAAATAAGCAGCTGCTAAAGAAATCCCCAGAACAGCTCCTGCGCTTGTAGGAAACCTCTTAACGCTCGCTAAGAGCAAGCCTTGAAAGATCATTTAAAATGCGGCTGCTTCTCCAGGGCTCACCTAAATCATGCAAGGCTCCTCCGCTGCTGTCGTGTTCATACACAGACCTCCCCTCCCTCAGTCTCTCCCTCCCCGCCCCTCGCGCTACGCAGCCTCCTGCGATGGGGAAAGGCCTGGGGAGGGTCTCTCTCTCTGACGCTTATGATAGGGCCAGACTTCATCGGGCAACTCCTCCAGCAGCCGCTCTCTTCTGTCCGGGAGCTGGCTTGACAGTTGCCTCCCCGCCATGTATAATTAAGTATTTGAAGTACAGTAGGCGACAACTGGGATGAAAACCGTACAGCGCTGCTTCCTTTTAAGGTGAACGTCTCAATATGCATTTTTCAGGTACAAAAACATAGGTTTGTATCACGGGGTGTAATCTGTGGCTTGGAAACTGACTCTTTGATCAAAACCTTTCATTTAGCTTGTTTGTGGTGACACAGCACGAAGAGCTGAAATCCCTTAAAAACCTCCATGCTGGAGGGTGGAAAGGACATGAGCACACTAGAATAGGGGAGGGCTCTTGACATACCCAATAATCAGTGCCCAGGGGCAGGTGGAAGACAGCTAAGTTATGACACATATGAAACTGCCATCTCCCTGGAGATGAGTTTTTCTGCTGGGGAGGTAGGAAGGAGCAGTCACACTTTGCAGCATTTCTGGTAAATGCATGCATGAGACTGAAATCTGCACGGAGAGGACTCAGGCAAGCAGACCCTTGCAGCAGAGGGATGAGGGATTTCCACTGCAAGAACCTGGGAACAGACAAGCTTGGGCAGCCAGGCCCTTGCTAAGGAAGCCACCTCTGGGATGGGAAACCCAGTGCTTTGGGGGAGCAAGCTATTTTTTTTCTGCCACACTCCTTGAGAGACCACCTGCACGAGACAGATATGATGGCTGCACAGGAGACACCCAGATATCTCTTCCCAGCCCGGTGCTCCCACGGCCTTCAGTAAGGAGGTCTCCAGAATTAGGCTGCTGCAGCAATGCAGTGATGGGAGGAGAGAGACGACTGCGGTTTCGCTTTGTATCCTGCCCACTTGTCAGCCTTTTTGTTAGAGGTCCCTGTTTTATAGACCTCAGCCCTGGTCTGAGCTACAGCAGCGACCAGTAATGGTTTTCCTATTGTATCTGAGCAGCACCTTCTCCCTTCCCATTTTCTAGCATATTTACATTGATCTGTGATGTTGAAGATTCTGACGTCCATGCAATTAAACTGTGAAAAGCAGTCAGCTGGAAAAAAAAAATCCTAGCAAGCAAAGATGTATTCCGCTTTTTGCCAAATCAGTGAGGAAATGAGAGCTATGCTTGTCTGGAGTTCACTGATCCTGCAGGTGCCTTGGTGAGGACAGGAAGACGTGCACGCTCTGCTACGGCTCCTTTCTGAGATCCAAGCCAAAAAGAAATCTGCTTCATAGAACTCCCGAAACAAAGAGTACATCTAGTTTCACTTGTCTTCATGGCAGTGCATGCTAGAAAATAAAAGTAGAGCTGAATCTCAGTCAGGGAAAAATATTTTTTAAAGTTTGTGAACAAATGCCATCCGTTCTTTAATGACATTTGCCTGTTTGTGACTTCTGGAATAAGAAATGTTTTTATTTTCAGTCTCTGCATTTTCTTCCTCCCTTTTGAGTCAACAGGAATTGAACCTGTAAGTCAAAATAGCTTTCTGTCTCCAAACAGACTGAGTCAGTACTGTGGTTTTAAAGAGATAGGGGAATGCTACTGACAGTTTATGAAGCAAGAGACAGGGAGAAGAATTTCCTGAAGAATGGGTCGTGATGCTATAAAATAGATACCATAGCTTCAGAGATAATCTTCACTTAAAGGAAACCTTGCCGCTGTATGAATCAACCAGGCTGTTTCCACAACCAGTACTGCTGTGAGGACTTTTTCCTCTGAAGATGTAAAACGCTTTCTCACTTCACAGCTCTTGCACAACACTGTTGCAGGAGAAAGATGAAAGGATACTGTTCTGCTTCTGCTTTTTATATAGCTAGCCTTCCCCCTTCATAAAAAGATAGATGCTTTCAAGCAAACCTGCCTACTACCACATGTGTGTCTACATTTAAATCTATTGTGGATGTGGGAAATGCATTTACAAGCACGCATTGCAGTAGCATCTCTGCCTGTGCAGAGAAATGCCAGTGACATATGTGACAGGAGAGAGAATGCCAACCTCCAATACATCATCGCTGATTTATCTACATCATCCATTGGAGAGAGGGTTAATTTTGACAATGATCCAGCAAACTGTCAAGTCAGTCCAATGTCTTGTTCACTCCACTATATATATAAAATGGCCTGGAGGAGGTGTCGCACAGGCAGTAACCTATGTTGGGATTACGCTTTTGGGAATGGTGTCTGCATCATTTGGCAGCCAACACAGCAGTGCCTGGGGTCAGCATCACAAAAGTGACATTTCCATAGCCCCAGCTGGCTGTAGAAACCAGGTGAGTTAGGGTAGCCTCAAAAATCTGAGGGAATTAGCAGGGAAGGCCACATCTGTTATGCAATGAAAATATTCAAAGACACATTTTGGAACTGGGTAGAATGATTTTTTTTTTTTAAGATGAGTCTTAAACCTCTTACTTACTCTCTGCCTTCTGCAAATACAAACTTCTCCAAAAAGCCAGTCACCACTAAAAAATGAAGCCATGGAATACTGTGAGAGATCACATCCCCTTGGGGTCAGAACAAATCAGGGCAGAACAACTCAGTAACCTTGGGTTATGCTATGCAAACTGGGATTACCCAGCGCCTAGCTTCTGCTCCCTGATTCCTTGTTCCTTTATTTGGACTGAGCAGATTGAAGAAACAGTATAAGCACAGCCAGAACATGCTATCTGTATTCAAAGAGTGAGTAAGCAAAATCAGCGAGGAGGCCTGGACACTTTGGTCTCCATCCCTAAAGGCTGGCTGTGAGGCAGCACTTCTGCATCCCGCAATGAAGCGGCCATGAAAGTTAAGCGATCTCTTTTTGGTCATCTAGAAAGGACTCCGGAGAAGCTCCCCATTGCTTTCCTGTTCATGAGCAGAGCCCAAAGCTGTCTTCTCCTTTTCACAGGAGCGCGGCTCTGTTTTACTCAAACTAATTTTATCAGCGCTGAATGAAATCACAGCTGGTTTAAATCTTAAGACCTCACGATGTGTTTGGAAGGCAGACAAAATACTCAGCAAAAAACCTGGTGGGGAAAAAAGGAATCCAGAAGAAATAGAAATGTTTAGAATGCCTTATTTGATGAGCAGATGGCAATGTGGAGGCACTTCAAAGCACTGCCCAAAGTCTATGGCAATTACTGGTTCTACACAGATAGTGTCACCTTACACTGAAAAAAGAAACCTCACGCATTTTGATATTATTGAAAAAAGAAGTCCAAACACCACTTTTTAGAGAAACTTGCAGAACAGAAATATTTTAGGCACTCCAAGTTGGTTACCAAACTGCACTTGGGGTGATGAAATGCACTGGAAATTTAGAATTTGACATGTTAGATTTTGACATTTTTTCATTGTTTATCATATTTGCTTTTCTCCACTGCCATGAGGTTAGACAATTAAACAAAACAGTTTATCATGGGATTTCAATCAATTTTTCTCTCAGGTTCTCATGCATGGAGATAATGTTGAAGTGCTTAGCTTGTAAATACTGCAGGGTAATGTTTATTTGTTTAAAACTGCTTTCATAAAACCTTGGAATGCTTTCTTAACCCCAGATCGCTTATGAACAAACAACCTTCTTCAGACTGTCTTCTTCCAGATATATCCTATGGTTTAATCCTTTACTTAAAATCCATTTTATAAAAAGTCCTATGACCTTTCCAATGCTTCCACGGTTTCTTTTTCTCAGGAACCAACCCACACTGGTCACTTCTCTTCCTCCACAGCTACCCTACCGTAGCTTTCACTTCCCTCTTCCTATTTCGTTTTAATACTGGCAGTTTCATGTACATCATTTTGTTATAGAAACAAAACCCTCTACTGCTGGAAACCAGAAACGGCTCTGACAGGCAGTTCTACAGGAAGGGCTTCCTGTCAGAAAACAGGCACAGCCGCAGCAGCATCCACAACTATGCACTGGCTTTGATGTTCTTTAAATTTATTTGTTTTGCAGTGAATGTGCCTTTCATGGCGGTGCTCAGCTCCCTGAGAGAGCAATGGTCTTATGCCTCGACGGTGCCTACCTCTACCGCACCCCCACCAAAGCCACCATGTCCTTCACAGTCCATCGACAGTCAGTTATGCCAGATCCTCACCCCCTAAAACAAACGACAGAGAGTGTCACTACACCTAACGTAGCAGTCTTGCCAAATGGAGACCTCGGGAAGAGGGCAGGTGGATGGTAAGGGCCAGGATGCCTCCCTGGAGGCAATGTCTGAGCCACGGCCACTCAGGCTTGACAGCCACCAACATGCAACAGCATGTTGCTACAGAAAAGTGAGCACCAAATACACATGAAACTGTAAATTCAGATGACAGTTTCCTTTTTTTGCCTAAGAAAACTACCACTGTGAAGAGCCACTATCTGTTATCTGGTGAAAGTCTTTCCTTAAATACAGTTAATTCCGAACAGAGATGGGAAATGATGAGGTTCAGTCTTGGACTGCTGTATCCTCCTAGGTCCCACATTGCTCAGCAACCACGCTGTACTGTGGCTCAGCTTCTTGTACAAGATTTAATGCTCCTTGTATGACTTAATGCAGCTTCAGAGAAAATGTGGAGGAGGCGTCCCAAAAACAAACAAAAAAATCCTTCAACAAAAGTGCTGCTGCTGTGCATGAGTGAAGGCCAAAGGCCGCAGTATTGTTAAATGTGTGGGTGTTTCGGTGTTGCCACTGACATTTTGGCAAAGGAAACACATGCTTTCTGCTTTACAACGTTCTATTGGAAAGATGATTTATTTCCTCCTCAAATTGTTCTGATACCAAGTAGCAGTTACCTGAGTAAGCCTCATTCATAAACTGTGGGTGGGTGATCAGGGATGGGGGGAGACCTGTTTTTTCCCCTGTAGAGAGAAAGCTCTTACAGTTCAGCTTTGTTCTGAACTAAATAAGAGGAACAGTGCACATGTGGTCTTCATTAGTGACGCTCCTTTGAAATCTCTCCAAGTCCTTGGATTGTAACTTTAGCACACAAAGGGGTGGGGGAAAGGGAAGAAGGGAGGAAGGGAATGAGGGAGGAATAAGACTGCTGGAACCCTCCCTGTGAAATCCAGACATGGATGGAGTTTCTCTTTTTTTCTTTTTCCTTTCATTCTTGTTCTTTTCTGTCTTTCTTTTTTTCATTGCAGGCACAGGATTGTTCTCAACCTTCTGAACTAGGAAAACATATTTTTAAAAAATCCTCTGCTCTTCTGCCAAAGCAAAACCAACATGAATGATCTCTTCTAAATTACAAGCATTAAATGATAGAGTGGAACAGTTATCATTTCACTGCTCTTTATGCGTATGTGCTTGCATATATGTTTTTGTGGTCATGTGGAGGCTGTGAGTCTCCAGCAGCCTGGAGTTTAAAAATGCTTTTGAAGGAGTGCTTAGAGAGCGAGCAAGAGAGCGGGGATTGATCTGGCAAGCTGAAGTAATGGAGGATGATTTCTGCTCATTAGGAACCATGTCACAGAACTGCAGTCTGATCAACACGCATTCCCTCCAGCTGCCTGGTATTTCCTCATGCTTTAAAACCTATACCTCCCCTCTTTCTCAGAAACACTAATGAAAAATGAAGTAACTTGGAAAAAGGCATGCTAACACTGCATGTATTATTTATACATGATTGTGCCCGTCAAATGATAGCATTTGAATCTATAGCCCCTTAAATTCACAGATGCACACACATGGCTTTCCATACCAGAAATCAATTAGAAATCGATGGCAGCTAAAGAATATTAGTGGAAAAATAACCAACAGCAAGTACAAAGCGTATCGATTAAACTCAGAGGCGATCTGGTTTCCCCCCTCACAGACTGTGGGAAATGAGAATATTTCATGGCACTGAGAAAATGACATCCACATTTTTGGCTGTGGTAGCCTGCTGAAGCATCTCTTTCATTCCCGAGACATTTTTGGAACATGGATGTGTTCAGCTGGCCAGATGTAAAGCATGAACTCCCTACC